TCATAAAAAATAACATGAAAGCACTTCACCTGTTTTATTGGCATTCTGTGAAAAGCAATTTGTTTATATAACCATTTCGTAAGTAAAAAATAAAATAATGTATGGACGTATTTTCAAAGAAGAGGGTAAAATGAGCAATACTGATTCGAAAGTACAGTGAAATCTCTGAATATATCAACATCTATCTTTGGTTGTTGTTAAGAGATACTGCTTTGTTGAGGTTGCACTGTAACAATTTAAATGAAATAAAATAATGATTGTTATAAAGAAAAAGAATTTATTGAAAATGATAAATAAATGAACATCTTTATAATTACTTCTATATTATATATTAAGTATTATATAATTATAGTAAATTAGTATTGAAGATGTATTGTTTATGCATTTCTATCAATGTATTATCACACTATGTATGATTATATACTATGTACAAGTCAAAATAAAATAATGCTCTGTTCTAAAAAACATATTAATACTCCTTAATTTAAATAGCCATGGTTCCGGATATAAATCAAGTTCAAACAAATTCGATTTTGTAAAATCTTACTCATATAACATGTTTATTTAAAAATTGAATACATAATTATCTCGACATCCAGAAACAGACAATTAAGTAAACAAACCAACCCATGTCTTATTCTATGGTTTTAAATATGTTAAATAAAATGACGAACATGAAAGATCAAATATCAAAACGCCCATGCATTATTAAGGCGGATTTTACCTCTCTTTGTATTAAATAATATCATCTGAAGAAAATACAACGATCCGTGGCATTGTAGATATTTAAATGAACTACTAAAATCGATCTTTTCGGTAGGATATAGTACAAAAAGTCTCAATAAAGTGTAATATCTACCGTAATACGCGGATGACCTTTTGTTAGCCTCAAGGGATATACAAACTGTAAAGCCATCTCGTGTATAACCGACCAACCCTCTAAACAGCTGAATTGTTTTGCACCTGTTTAATTAAAATGATAGATTTGTACATCTAGAATGCTGGTATAGAATAAGATACCATTGCAAAGTATTAAGATAAAATGTTTTGCATTTATTATTACATTAGCGCGACTTTGATAAAATTCTTATTGACGGAATAAAAAAAAAACGTATGGAATTTAAGTAATGGATTTGGATGTAGAAAAATAAAAAGAAATAGGTAAGTGAATGCTCATTGTTTGTTTAACAAATGGTATGAAAACAAAAAAAAAAGCTATAATTGCTAATTAAAACTTTGTGCAAACTGAATTAACACAATTATTATGTCATCACTTCACGAACAGATCAAAGACTATGGCATATTTTTAGATATATGTTTTATAGATCTAGCCTTTTAACAATGGCAACTAAAATATTCTAAATAAAGGGAACAAAAAGTACTTTTAAGTCTTCTGAGTTTGACTTTCTAACGAAGAATATCAAAACGCAATGATATATCTAATTTTATTTAAAAAGTTGATTACTTGTATAACTTATATATGAAGCTTAGAATTTTAGTTTTCAAAGATGGCACTCATATTAATGACAAATAAATATTCTAGTTTTAAAGAAGTTAATGATTGAAATATAAGAGCGAATGTTACAAACCTTGTCATATATAACCTGGATGACTTGCAATAAGTAACAATTGCTGTGAGTTGTAACTTGAAATATTTCCTAGATGATAAAGAAAATAGGGTTAAATAAAGCAATTTTAAATTCAAAGGGGGATAATGTTGTAAATGTTGGAGTCATGTGGGAAGTGTAAACGTTGTCATATATGGTGTCGATGTACAAACTGATGCGGGATAGAATGAAAATAAAGATAAAGTAACCCTTAAGTAATTAGAGGAGAGCAGGAAATAACATTTACATTTATGATAAAGAATTCTCAGACTTCAAAGGGTTAGTAATTCTTACAATATACCCCACTAGAGCCATAAAACATAAAATATATTGATATCGATGATGATACAAAATAACAGCATAAAATCTGAAGTAAATCTTTTCAGATATGATGATATAGTGTAAAACTAATATGATAAATTTGAAAGCAGGGTGAATTAGACAGCTCTCAATACACATTGTATAATAGAATTAATGTAGATAAGTATTTGTGTTAGGGATTTTACGCGTTTGTTATTTAATCGCATTCGTGCGAGATTAAACCTGAACTTACATTTTTATATTTCTTTTGTTTATTGTTATTTTTGCGGATTAACGTATAAAATTGCTGTTCACATGTACCGTGGATCAAAGCGTATATAAATATACAGTATTGGTAAATTCCAAAACATAAACTTATCGAATTTGTAATTTTGTAAGTAAATGTAAATAGGCCATACCATGCTATAAAATGAACATACAATTTATAATACTACTTATTTCTAAAGTCGCGTTTCATTGGTTAATCCTGACGTATTAAAACTCTTGATACACGGCTCCTGTCTATTTATGATGTATTTTCCCCCCAATACAGTAATTCTTCTATATAATAAATTTGTAATATAGATATCTGCTTTAAAGGAGTATATAAATAAAACTATCGCCTGGTGGCTTAGGTTACATGACCTGAGCTTTGAACCAATACCTTAACTTCCTTTTTTTAATTTGTGAACAAACCTATCTTGCTTTTCATTAATATACTTTCATGGGTAAATGTAAACTTTGTGATAAAAAAACGCTCAATGGATACAATTTGCTCAAAATTTATCTCTTTTGCTCATTCTATATGAGAAATGAATCAACTTGAAGACAATTTGTGCTTCAATAGTAACTCTCTAAGAGAACGACGGGGGGGGGGGGGGGGTGTTTTCGTCCGTTCTTTGCTCACCCAAATGCTATACCGAACCAGATGGATGATTTGATATTCGTTCCATTTTACAGGACAAGTAAAGTTGGTATTTTCTTAAAAAAAACTGCCAGTTATTTTAACGACACTATATATTTATATTGTGACCATCTATAGTGTGTACAGTTTTAAACGCTACATATCAACTTTGTGTAAAGTCAAAACATGTTTATTTCATATTTACAAAGAGGCTGTGTAGTAATTATATTATTATTTTCTGATATCAAAGTTGAGCATAGTATATCTTTAAAGATCCTGTAACTCAATTTTTTTATGGTTTAATATCATAAATCTGATACTCAAATGAAGATATTTCAATATTGTAAGTTCAAAAAAGTATTATTTGTAAAGATATTGTGAAATGAACATTTCATATAAATAAAGGGAGATAATTAGAAATATATTTTCGATAAAGTCTGAGCCAATTTTTCCCATTAGAAATGAATGCATAGATTTAAATGATTACTAATAATGCAAATAAACATTTGTTGTACATAGTAAACATATTCTTGGAGGTTTGAATATTGTTTAAAAAGAATAATTATACACATATATAAAATTTCACTTATAAATAAGTGTTGTTACCATGAAGAATCTTTAAATTTTATCGTATCAAGCTGTGAGCAGCGGTCATCACAACATGTAAAGTAATTTAAGTTTTAGCTACTCTATCGGACTTTTAAGTTTTTATCTATGCTGTTTAGTCGGTCAAAATAAATTGAATTGTTTTGTAAATTGCTTGTTGTTGACAGACTGACAGAAAGATATGCATATATTATTATTTAAAATCAGGGTCTACAGTTAATATACATGATAACAACATTTATTTAGTTTTATAAAATGTAAAAACATATTAAGCAGTTTTCTTGCAAGTTATGATACAAATATCAATATAGTTTATGGAATTAGTTTTAACAGATTAGGTTTCCATAGGAAACAGGTTGAGAAAAGTGAAAAGGTAGATTTTAGGACTTTTATTGGATATCGCCTATATTCAACAGACTATCTAATATCTATTCAATTTTAAATATCGATACGATTTAATTTTGTAATTGGTTTCCACTGGACCAGCTAGTTTATTCAATATATCGTTGATATTAAGCTCCCGGTCTATCGATACAACTGTTCCATCAATGACAGCTGTAGTACAATTCTATGAGATGGTCATAATAGACATCTAAGCCAATGTAAGTTTAAATTTCAGCATTTGTACAACAATTTACGTTTACCCATCTAAACGGGTGACATTGACTGTTTTCCTATTTTAGTACAGAAGGGGTTCACAGTTCAGTAATTAGAAGTCATAATATACGAGAATTCGGTGCCGGTTGTTAATGTGTATTGTCCTGGCACTTCATTAATTTCCGTAAAGGTCAGGTGATAAACAGTGGTATCTAACGAATATATCGATACCTTTATTAACTTCACACGTCAATGAGTTGTGGTGTATTGGTATAGATGCCTGACAACTAATCTGAAGTTCCCTGGTTCGATACCTTACCAACACTACGTTATGAGGACATACATTTTTTTTATTTCATTTTGAAAATAACTTGCAAGAATTAATTTGAAATCGTTTTACTATATCTGGTTTTTAGTATACCTTTTAAGTAGTGTTTTTATACAATTTTATTTTTTATTTCATTACATTATCTTTAATTATTAAAAGGACAGCACGTTCATAATACAAATTAAAATTCATACACAACCAAAACTCAAAACGTTTTGCACGAGTTAAGAGAGAAATAGCAATTTTAAAATAAGAACAAAATATAAAAGTGGCTGAACCAGGATTCGAACCTACGAGTGTGCGTCTATATTCTTGAAGTGAAAGCACTTTACGACCGTGCTAAGAGGGATTTGTAATTTAGATCATTTAACAACTGGTTATATACATTCATATCGGTTTACAATAGATAGTAACGTTTAAGGAATTTACCGACTATGGGGTCAAATGCAAGAGTGCCAGGTCAATGTTGTTGGACAATACACGTTTTTATGTGTTTTTTTGTTTTCTTTGTTTTTCTTTTTATGGATATGATAACAGGTAAAACAAGAAACAAAATTACCCATGAAAAGTGATAAATAACACATTTATCGGATAACAACGATTCAGTTACAGCCTCGTGATGATCGCGTCTACTTCCTGGTATCCCATAACAGGATCAAGTCAAAAATAAAAATAAAATAATGTACAGTGATCGTGAATACATACAGTAAGTGCTTGTAATCGGAATTGTAATCGGAATACATTAAATTTTACAGTGATTCCGTTCATACAATGTGTATAACATTTTGTGTAAATGGTTTGCGCCTATAATGTGTGTAGCAGCTAAAATACGGTACAGCTTCTTCAGCGGCAGGCAAACAAATTATAAACAAACAAAACAAGTAAGTAAATATGCATGCGCGTGACGGACAGGAAACAACAACAACGTATTTTTTACAAAAATAAAATTAAGTTCTTTTGTTGTAGGGATAGTAAGTGAAGCCTATATAAACATGAACTTAAGTTATACGTTTTGAGGGGAAAAACAACATTGGAAAATAGTTGGTTTGCATCAAGGCTTTAAATATCTAAAATTTAATGTGTTCGGGCAGTTGTAACAATTATTTGAATAAAATTTCTCATACTTTGACTAAAAAGCGGACATTTTAACATATAATGAAACTCGTCTGCAATACCGTGCTGATTGCAAAATGTACATTTTAACGGTCTACATAGGACTGCCATCACTTTGAACCATGTCCGAAAGCAATTCGGTTGCTTATAGTACAAATTTTATAGTGAGGATGTTATTAAATATTTGGCGCATCCTAAAATATCGTTTAGATTGTTTATTTCCACTTTAAATAACTATCAGAGTGCATTGTTTTCTAGAACAAATATTTAAAGTTTGTTTTGAAAAATATTTCAATTTTGGAAAAGAATTAAGATAAACAAAAATATATATATTATCGGTATTATCAACTATGTACATGACAAACCATTGAAAATTTAACCCGGATGTAAACATATTAAGAATAACATGATCTGGATAATCCTGTTTTACATAAACAGCTACCATTTCAATTAAAGCAAAATTTATCTTTTGTGATAAAATTTACTTCCACGTGTCGTTGATACATTAAACTGAAATTATATGCTATTATATTATGTAATATTGTGATATAGTTAGATATTATTAATACTTATCATTAATCAAGCATGTTTCACGATTTTATCATACGACAGCTAGAAGACTTGTTCTTCTGTAGCAATAACTTTTATAAGTTATTTGTATACACGATTGATAGTTCATATTCGATGCATATTATTAGTTAATATAAAGATTTTTTGATAGGCTTAATCTGGCCATGTAACCTGTCAAGAACATCTTTTACGAATTGATAATACAGCAAACTTCCCTTCTAACAGAATAAAGAAGAGATTTCTTCAAAAATTGGCAGCAGCTGTCTATATTATTAGTTGTAAAATTTTTTGACAGGTTATATGGCCCTATTAAACGTTGTTTGTAAATGTAACCCGAGCCGTTAGACGAGTGTTATATTGCAAACAACCATTTTTATACGGCCATATAACTTGTCAGAAATATTTATAACGAATTTATAATACAGCAAGCATCATTTTTCTTTATAAAATCGACAGCAGCCGTATATATAAAACTATATAAACGTCACGATTATCCATTCACCATTTATCATAGATACCCAAAGTCATCTAAATTAATATCCGAATGTGAATACATGTTCATATGAGCCGCGTCACGACAAAACCAACATAATGCGTTTGCGACCAGCATGGATCCAGACCAGTCTGATCAGGATCAATGCTGTTCGCTTACAAACCCTGTTACAAGTAGAGAAACTGATAGCGAACAGCATGGATCCTGATCAGACTGCGCGGATGCGCAGGCTGGTCTGGATCCATGCTGGTCGCAAACCCATTATGTTGGTTTTGTCATGGCGCGGCTCATATGTATTTAAATATTTTAATTATAATAATAACATATTAAATAGTATAGTACGGAAAATAAAAAAAATTAAAAAATTAAGCAGCCCTTTTAGATATCCAATGCAGAAAAAAATCTTGTCAAAAGAAATACAAGAAATAAACATTGATTTTATTGGTATTGTTTATCATTTAGACAACAATAGCAAACTCAAACATCATCATCTCTTATAATTACAATAAAACTTTTTACAATGCAGATAAAAGATTAAATTTAAGTGTAATACCGTAATCAAATTCTATTGACTGCAACTTTAAGTAATAAACATAAAAGGCTAACATTTTGTCATAAAATTTGACGATTTTCCTTCTAATTTTATGGCTACATTAAAGGCGCTCTGCAGAGGTCCAAGATCGTAAAACATAAAATTTGAAAACAAAGATCAATTGGGGCATTTAAAAAACGAAAAAATAAATGACAATTTAAAAAAATATATCAAAATTGAACTAACGCGATTTTAGTCCGGGTCGAGTTTTCAGCTTTGAAAGGCTCTTCATATTTAGATAATAATAATAATTCTAACACGACCCGCATTTTTCCCTATTGAACATAGAAGAACCGAAAGTGTGTGCTATTATGTTATAAAATCACTGTTTGACGTTCTATATTTAGACATGTGACGTAATCATTATACACGTGACGTAACAACTAAAAATGTGACGCGCTGACAATAAGTTCGAAACAAACCAGGCGCAATTAAGCTAGTTATAATGTACGGGAGCATTTATTTGTTGATGTCGTCTTAGAATCGAAATAATATATCCAAATCGGTGATTTTATTGCTTAATAACATCACTGTTTGTCGTTCGGATGCGCATCATTATATCACTCGGGCTACGCCCTCATGATATAATTCCCCGCATCCGAACTCCATACAGTGATGTTATTGAGCAATAAAATCACAGTTTGGGATATATTATTTCTTAAATAACCTGTATCCTTGAAAAACGTAGAGAGCGATTCATCTGAAATATAAATTTGCACACATGTTTTCGGTAGAGACCTTGTCAAATGGTTTAACATATCGGAAACATATTTCCAGTCCAGCAAAAAAATAAAACAACAACCTAAGTGGAGTCCCTTTAAATGTTTCGTAGACGATTGCAAGATGAATGATATTTGTTTTGCTTCTAATGCAAAAACAAAAGAAGTTTAATGGAGATATTGAAATAATGTGTTTTCCTATGCAAACTATAGAACCAATCAAAACCACTTTATTGGAATATGAGGACTAAGTAGTTAATGGTATCCGTCATTAAGAAGTATTTATAACATAGAAATGTGCTTGTTTAATCTGTATAAAGATAAAAACTATAATAAGCCATGCATTTATATTTGTTATAAACTTTTGTAACTGTATAAAACCGCTATAAATCTATTTAAGATTGTTTTATACCACATATTCTGCTGCTTCTGTTTATTTTTGTTGCACACGAAAAGTCAGTAATCAGTAGTTAAATGGCAGACTTCGATAATAAATAATAAGATATTCATTCATATTTTGATCCTTAAGTTTTATCTTTGATCCGAACCTTAATAACCTTCGAGTAGATGCTACGTAAAGTAAGGTCTGGCAAGGTTTGAAACATCAAAACTTGTATTGAATTTAAAGCTCTTCACCTACAGGTCCGGAAGTGGGTAGATTTACTTCCGTTATGGCGGACGGTCACGTGATTAACAAAATTGCGACGGTCAGTTTCTTTTATTTGCGTTATCTATAGAACCAAGCATGCCTTCACATTTGTGCAAAATGACCTTTTTCTTTATTATTAAAAGACCAGCTTGGGTATTTTTGCATTTCCGCCTCGAGAATGCCAAAATGCGAATACACGAAAGATACGCTGATGTTCAGCTTTGTAGTATTTTTGTATTCGCATTCGCTTTCTCAAGGCGGAAAAAACACGAAAGGATGAAAAAAAAAAAAAAAAAAAAAAAAAAAAATTGATATGTCGTGAAAACGTGTCTCCGCCTTTTATTTGTCGTATTTTTGCATTTCTGCATTTTCACATTGTTATATTTTCAATTCTTTGCATTGCTGTCTTTTCGCATTGTTGCATTTTTTATGCTTTCTGCATTATATATCTTCTTGTTTCGCGTACGACTATGCAGACATATTACATTCATGTCATATGCCTAAGTGTATGTAATACATGCTGTTGAATACAACCATAAAGGTGATTGACAACCGAAATTCGAACAGTTTGAGTTATATCAACATTTTAAATAAAAGTATATGTTATCAAAGTTTATAAGCTTTCGCCGTTGTAACTGATGTGCGCATGCGCTTGTACAACCGGCGGAACGAGAACATGCGACAATGTTACCGAACAATGCAATAAAATATGCACAATGCAACAATATGTGAAAAGGTGAAAATATAACAATGCGAACAAAATAATCGAAAACATTTCTCAAGGTTTTTGGCATTGCTGCATTTTCGCCTCGAAATACCAATCCGAGGTAATGCGCTCCACAGAAAAACAACAACAACAACAAATCACACGCAAAAAAAAACAACAACAAATAAAGAAAGAAAGAAACAAATACAACAAAATTATATAAAAGAAAGACCTGTTTTATGTGTCGTATTTGTGCCTGATTTTGAAAGTCTTTCGATCGAACCTTCTATGCTTTTTCACATTTTCGCACTTTCGTAGCGAAAATACGACATGGCATTCGACAGCCACCGTATCAATCAGCCAGGCACCATAGGTATATGATAAAAGCATTATGGGATAAAATATTGCTCCAATCTAGACATGTTTGCATTAGACATGCTGAGAATTTCATTCAGATATTTTTTTTCTTTTAAGGTAGCATCGTATAAGATTAAATTGAATATATCAGTCAGTCAGGTTGTAAAGACGTCATTAAGCCAGTTAGAAGTATTGTTACAATGTAAACTGATATTATATGTATAGAGAAATTTCAACATTAACTAGGTGTTTGTGATAAGGAAGGCAGACACATTAGCGATCCCGGTGGGTATATTATTCCCGCTTCTATCCCTATCTGTATAATTGATGTATCAATTACTACGTTTAAACTTAATTGACTCATGCAAGGTTAAAAATTATTTTCACAGGCGTACTAGGGCAGGTTTTTTTAAGAGACAAGAATCTGAGTTTGACGAAGAAAACGTAGAATAATGTAGATTACAAAAATAAAAGCCAAACATATCTGTTAGAAATCTAGAATTAACATCTGACATTTATGTTTCCAAATAAACACGTAGAATATAAAATGGACATACTTTAGTGAAACAATTGGCATTTGTTACAAGCGTAACACAATGTTACATCTATGTAACGATTACTACATCAGTAACAATTGTAACTACTAAGCTTTAACACCTACACCACATATTGTTCCTATCAA